GACCTTCTCCCGCCGCGCCTCCCGCTCGAACATCTGCGGTGGGATTTGGGGCTGAGGGGTGTGGGGGGCACAGGGGACCCTGTGCTGTGCCCAGGGACAGTGCAGGGCTGTGGGCAGAGCTCTGTGTGTGGGGCTGGGGCCATGCCCGTGGTGAGGGGGCTCGGCTGGGGCCTGGCACACACCGTGGAGGTCAGGGACTTCTCGTTCTTCCGGAGGGTGCAGAGCCCCGAGGAGATCTCCAGGACGTTGATGGTGCCCTGCTTGGTGCCACAGCCGATGATGCGCCCGTTGTCCTGTGGGCGCAGGCTGAGGAGGGGATCGTTGCTCATCTGGGGATGGGGGACAGACACATGGGTTGTGGCACTTGGCCCTGGAAGTCGGGCAGGATGAGCTGGCAGAGGCAAAGCCACGGGGCTGCCAAACTCGCTCCCCTCTCATTGCTTGGGGCTCAGAGGAGCTGGGGACCCACCTTGAGGCTGAGGGAAGGCTCCTTCTGGTGGAAGAGGAAGTCCCAGACGTCCAGGGTCCCATCTGACCTGACAGTGAAGAACACAGACGGCTTCACGGGGCTCCAGCACCCGTCCAGCAGGTAGGGAACGTGGCACCTGAGGGCAGAGCTGCGCCTCAGCCACACTGGCACCGCTCTGCCTCGGCCTGTCCCACCACCCCGAGCTGACCAGACCCCGCTGGCACCTCCCTGAACACGCTCTGCCACCCAGGGATGGCTTTTGGCCAAGTAAACACACCCTGACACCTACTTGGTCTCCATAATCGATGACGAGTCCAGGTTCTCCTCCGACCAGATGCGGGCAGTCCAGTCACCCACCGACAGGAAGACTTTGGGGTTGAAGGGGCTCCTGGCCACGGCATAAACAGCCCCAATGTGGCCATTGAAGACGTTGGCGATTTTCTCGGGGGGGGTCTTGGCGTCACGGTTGCAGTTGATGATACTGCCCTGCTCTGTGCCCACCAGGAACTTGGTGGGCTGAGGGTGGGAGCAGGAGAGAGCAGCTGTCAGCAGGATGGGGGTGGACAGCAAGGGGGCCCTGCTGCAGCCAGAGCCCTGGACCCACAACCAGTGGGGGATTTAGGGACTGAAATGCCAGAATAACCCTATGTTTTGGGGAGCACATCCCAATTCTTCATGAATCTGGCCCCTTGGGCTGTGCCCGTGGTTGAGGTATGAGCAGTGGGCACAGGGACACTGACCATGGAGAGCGAAAAGTCCAGGGAGATGGCACCCAGGGCATTCTTCAGCTGATCTTCCCGGGTGATGTCCAAGACCAGCCTATCGCTGGGCTGTGACAGCTTGCGGATGTCCCACCACAGGACCTGTGGGGGAGAGGCCATGGCAGGGGGCTGTGGGGGCTGCTCCTGCTCACCCAGGGGTGCTGGAGCCCAGCAGCTGCCATGTGCCAGCCCGGGGGGCCTGGATCTTGTGCTGCTGAGGGGCAGCACAGGCAAGGGAAGCTCTTTTGGGTCCCCTCAGGAGCAGCTGGCACCATCCCCTGCCCTGGCCCCTGCCCTGCCCCAGCCCCTCACCTGCCCATCTGTAGAGGCTGAGAAACACTCAGTGCCTGTTCTGGAGGGCAGCCAGAGCGCTCCATACACAGGGTCCCTGTGGCTGAGCTCCACGGGGGTCGCCTCCATGGGCAGCCCCCCTTTCCTGGTGTCCCAGTACACTGGGAAGGAAAAGAAAAGCCTTCGCTCAGCTCCTTTCCTTGTCATGTGTTTTCCCCTTCCCAAGTCAGAGCAGGGAGCAAACCTCACCAGGTGCTTCCCACGTGCTTCCCACCCCCAGGGGTGGTGGGAGAGGGGGGACCACAGCACCCTTCCTGCTCAGCCCCTGGATCCAGCCACCCCTCCCGGCCATGGCTGCCCTGAGTGCTGCAAAGGGCTCCCTGGCATTGGGTCCTCCCCTCCCGGGGTACCCACTCAGGTGAGCACACACCTGTCCACAGGCAAATCCCAGGCCCTGCTCCAGTGGGGTATTCCCAGTGGCAGCACTAACTGATGACACCCTGTGAGTGCAGCGGTGCTGGAGCCAGGCTCCTGCTGAATCAAGCCCCCCACCTGCCCCATTCCCCTCACCTATCTGCCCGTTGTAGCAGCCTCCCAGCAGGTGATGCCAGTCCTTGGGATTGTATTCCACAGTCACCACAGGGGATGAGAGCATGAGGGTGAGCAGTGGCTTGTAGGGGTATTCTGCCAAGGAGGGACGAGTGAAGAGCAAAGGGTGAAGGCAGCACCCCAAAACCAGCCCCCCGTCCCACCCCACTCCCTGCCATGGATGTGCTGGATGAGGTCACTGGGATGTGGCAGGGAAGGGAGCTGGCCTGGACACAGACCCCTGGTACCTCCACCCCTCTTCTTTGTCCTTTTCACCCCAAAACAAACCAGGTCTGAGCGAGGCTTGGACAGATCAGGGCAATTCTCACCCCAGGCTCCTGCTGCCTCTTTCTTCCTTCATCGACCAAACTGAACCACATCAGGACAAGAACCTTGTACAGGGCACATGGCTCTGCTGCCTGTTGTGGTTCCGGAGCCATGGAGTGGGATTTTATTTCCCGCTTTCCAGCTCCCATTTCTCCCCGTTTCTGCACGGCCCAGACCTCCCCCCCCCCAACCCTCCTTGGGTGCTGCGAGGCCTCATCCCACTCTGAGCCACAAAGTGCTTCCGCTATCGACCGGTGGGTTCTCCCCTCCCCTTACCCATATCCCAGATGAAGGAATCAATGCCGATGTCTCTCCTCTTGTCCTGGAACTCCAGGCTGCAGTAAGCCACGGCCAGTTCCTTGCCGGCGTCGGGGTGCCAGGAGAGGTGTGTGGCTGTCCTCCTGACCGGGCTTGGGTCCCTTTGGGATGACAGGTCATCCAAGAAAGGTTACTTTGCGAATCCCTGGGATGAGCATCTCACAAAGGAAGTTGTGGGAACCACAGTTAAACCAATCTGCAGCCCTCAAGCCTTGAGTGCAGGAAATGATTCTCCGGTGGGTTGGGTGGGGGGAGAAAAGTTGATGATTTCATCATCTTTCCAGTTATACCTTTCTGAAAATCCAATTCTCTTACTGGATCTGCCTCCCAAAACAACCCAACAGCCCCTGATGCTGAAATTAACCTTTGAGGCACTGAAAAACAAGCAGGAAAATCCTCATGCTCAGAGCTGAGTCTGATCCTGGTTCCCATCCCCAAATCACCTGAGCAGGGGAGGGAAGGGAGGGAGGATGGATGATTGGCTCTCCAGCCACAGACTGACCCAGGACCATCCTAAACCCACTGGAATTTAGCTCCTAAAGGTTTGAAGGTGGTTTGACCCCACTGTGGCCCCGCGGAGCCTGGTGAGCCCCCCTGGCTGGGCTACCTGAAGGCACTGATGGTTTTGGCAGAGGGAGGGTCCTCGATCCCCTCTTCCTCTTCGTCGTCTGCAAAATATTCCTCGTAGATGTCGATGGCATTGTTCTGCCTGATGCAATGCTCCATCAGCTGCAGGGACAGCACAGGATGTGTCTCTGGGGGCTCTGGGCGGGTCAGGGGGTTTTGGAGGGGGAGCAGGGGCAGGGCCTTACAGTGCCAAGGTGCTGGATGGTTCTGGTGTAGACCTCATCCCTCTCCACCTCCTCCCTGTAGCGGGAGGTCAGCTCCGTGTTCTTGGGGTCGACGTGCTTGGGCCACCCGCCCTCCACGTGGTTCACACCCCGGGATGTCGCCTGCACCCGCTCCGTGTTCACCTGGGCAGGGGGACACAGAGGGATCGGAGGCCCTGAGCCCAAAGAGTGCCAGACACACCTTGGCCCCTCGGGCCAACTGCCTTCCACGTGTTTGACATCCTGGGATGTCACCTCCGTCCACTCCACGTTCTCCTGGGGAGGGGGGACATGGAGGGATCGGAGCAACCTGAGCCCAAAATGTGCTTGACTTTGTGCCCCCACAGGGCCCAGCACAGCCCCCAGAGCCCCCTGGGGCAGTGCCCCCGTACCTCGTGCAGAGCCATGACGGGCGCGTGCTGAAGGGCGAAGTCCACGGGGTCCTGGGGGATGAAGTCTTCGGCCAGGCTGGGGTCCGGCGGGATGTCCACGGTCACCTCGGCCGGCAGGTCCGAGAAGTTGCAGGGCCGCCCAAAGTCGCTGCGCTTCCGTGTGTACTCGAACTTGATCTCCATGGTGAGGGGGACCCCCACAGCAGGGGGGGCTTGGGAAGGAATGGGGCGGTTGGGGAGGGAGGGGGAGACCTGAAAGGGAGTGGGGGCCTCAGGGAAGACTCCAAAAAGGAGTGGGAGGCTTGGGGATGGAGGGTCCCAAAAGAGAGCCCCTGAAAGGTGAGGAGGCCTCGGGGATGGAGAGCTCCAAAAGAGAGTGGGGTCCTTGGGGAACCCTTAAAAGGAACAGGGGCCTCAGGGGTGGAGGAAAAGCCCCAAAAGACAGCAGAAACTTTGGGGAGGAAGAGAGGGTCCCAAAGGAGAGTGGGAGCCTGAAAGGGAGTGAAGTTGTCAGGAATGGAGAGATGGTCCTGGAAGGGAGTGGAAAACTCAGGGAGCCCCAGGAGGGATTGAGGAAGGAGCCAAAAGGGAATGGAAATCTTGGGAAACCCCGAATGTGAGCAGAAAGCCTGGGGAGGGAATACCCTGAGAGGGCCTAGGGGGCTTTAGGGAGATCCCAAAAAGGCAGCGGGAGCCCCAAAATGGAGCTGAGGCCCAGGAACAGAGGGATGAAGAGCTTTGAGTGTTAAAGGAACACCCCGAAGGCCCCGGGACCCCGGTGGGGCCTGTCCAGGTCCCGATCCCGGTCCCGGTGGGGCCTGACCGGGGACGCGTCGCCGTTGCCAGGCAACGCCTCGACACCCCCCGTAACACTGGGGCCGTCGTCACGTGACACAGGCCGCGTACCGACCTCCTCAAAATGGCGGCGCCCGCCGGTGTCACGTGACGGCTGCCATGTTGGGAAGGTCAAATAAAAGGTGCCTCAAACAGATTATCCCCCCCAAAAAAACCCGTGTGGAGGAGATAAATTTAGTCCAAGTGTTTATTATCTTTTTCCCCTCAAGGGGCACATACAAATCCAGCCGGACTGCAGCTCCCAGCCTGAGTCCTTCGGTTAGTTCACATGCGGTTAACAACAGCTCTTCTACCAGTACCGTTACATGGAAATGTTAAAAGCCAAAAAAATAAAAATAATAACAAAATCCCTTGGGATTTCCCCCAAAAGGGAGGGATGCTAGTCATGGGGAACATGGAAAGAGGGAGGCAGGGGGATGTACTGGCCCTGGGTGGGGGGCACCCACCACCCCATCCACGCCCTTTGGGCTGCAGGGTCTGGGTGGGATGGAGCAGGGGTCTTCCCTGCTCCATGGAGAAGGGCTTTCTGGGGATCCCTGTGCCAAAGGGTAGCCCCAAAAGATCCATTCAGCTCATACTGGTCTCCCAGTTCCTCTGCCTAGAGCCCTGGAAATGCTGGATGAGCTCCCGCCCCAAGGTGGCAGGTCCACTCTGTCCCCTTCCCAGGCACCCCATCCCACCCCAGGGAAGCCCCAGTAGTCCCTAACCCTCTCCTAGGGGATTCCTGGCTGCCCCAGGGCTGTCCTGCAGGAGGAGGGGATCCTGCCCCATATCCCAGACCTGCCCTGGGGAGTCAAATCGCCAAAAAGAGCATAAAACCACCCAAAAAACCTGCTACCACACTACACTGCAGAAAACCCACTCCAAAACAGTCAGAGAGTCAACCCACGCTCCCAAGAGCTCCCAAATCCTAGAGGGCAAAGCAAAGGAAAGCCAGCAAGGCCAAAACATCCGTAATTCCCCAGCCTGGGGGGTGGGAAGGGGGGTACAGGGGGCTGGATCTGCTCACGGGGAGCAGCCGGGGAAGGGGGAACTGGGAAAGGTTGGGATCACTAGTGGTTGGTGCTGCATTGCTACGGGAGCAGGGGAGCCCCTGCCCCAACCCCTCCCTGGGGGGTGCTGGGGGCAGCGTGGTCCCGGGATTTGCCCTCCAGAAGGCTCCAACATTCCCGAGCCGGGAGAAGCCGATGCTGGAGCAGCATCTCCGCGCTCCCCGGGATAAGGCAGGAAGAGTCGAGTCCCAGGAGCTGCCGGGGGGGCTCAGAGGGGTGCACGGTGGGGGGCTCCGGGCTCGTTCCTCCAGCCCCCGCCGCGTCTCCTACCGCGTGTTCTCCGGGGGTCTTTGGTTTCCCGAGGGAAACGCCGGCGGCGTCTCCTCCTACGCCGGGAAGTCGCCGCGGTGCCGGACGTGCTCATCGGTGACACTCAGGTATGTGGCCCTCATGCTCGGGGAGTACTGTGGGATGGGGGGGACACGGGGGAGGGGGGTCAGCGCCCTTCAAAATACAACCCCTGCACCACCAGGGACGGCCCCATGGAGAGGGAACACTGCTTCCCATGTGGATTGATCCCTAATTAATCTGCCAGGTGGGCACGGGGAAAGGGGCAGACCCTACTCACAGCCTGTCTAGGGGCTGCAGGACATGAGACCTCCTCAGCCTGGAGCCCTGGAAATGCTGCAGGAGCCCCCCAGGGTGGCAGCTGTCCCCCCTCCCCGGGCACCACATCCCACTCCAGGGATGCCCCAGTTGTCCCTTACCCTCTCCCAGGGGATTTGTGGCCACCCCAGGGCTGTCCCTGCCCCAGCCCACACCTGTCCTGGGGAGCCAAATTACCAAAAAGAGGCTAAAACCACCCAAAACCTGCTATTACACTGCAGCAAAAGCCCCTCTAGCTCTGCTTTGTCCCTTTCCAGGTTCATCCTCCACCTTCCCAGCTCCAGCCCAGCAGCAAATTCATCCCAAATCACCCCATGTGCACGATTCCATGGGGTAATAGTGAGCCCAGCACAGGGCCCCAAAACTCCAGCCTCTCAAAATCACATTTCTCCAGGATTTCACAGCAGGCAGGATCACCCCAACCAGGCACTAAGGAAGATTATTCCGAGTTTGTTCCTCTGGACTCGAAAAGTCCTTCCTCTGGGATCTGAATCCTGGGTAAATTCATTCAGGGCTGGGAGAAGTGCTCGAATTAATCCCCTCACTCATCTGCTCCCCCCTCAAGGGAAAAGGCTCTCACCAGCTGCCAGGTCTGTGCAATGGGATTACACCTGATGGAAAAAATCATTCCTGGAAGAAGGGAGCACAGTATTCCTGCCACAGCAGCATTCCCAGAGCTGTGTCCATGCCCCACTGCCTGACTGGGGATGGAGATGGGGGCCAGCATCCCAATGTGGGGGAGCTGCAAATCCTCCTGGAACTTCCTGGGGACAAACTGTGGCCCAAGTCCCTCCCTCCCTGAGCTCTCCACACTCTTCCTGAAATCCAGTCAGGGAAAGGGGATGGAGGGAGGCACAGAAGAGGGGGAGGATGGGGGAACCCAGCTGCTGCCCCAGGATAAGGAGGGAGAGGGAAGCAGCTGAACTTACTCTTGATGGGCAACTTAGCTCCAAAATAATGGATGCAAAAATTAAAAGAAACCATAAAAAAAAAAAAAAAGACAAGCAATAAAAAATAAAGCAGCAAATACCAGACAGGGAGGGATTAACAACGAGCAGGGAAATGGGAACGGGCAGGGAGACACTGCCAGGAGCGTCCTCTGAAAGTGAGGATGGAGAGGGAGCACAGGGAAGGGAGGGAAGGCAGGGCTATTTCGGGCTCCCCCGAGCACGTGGCTGTGCCCCCTCCCCACAGCCCCCGCGGGGCCGGCTGGGAATTGGGTTAGAGCCGGGCAGGGGGAGCCACGTCCTCGGCAAGGGCAGGAGAGGGCCGGGATCACCCCCCCGTCCCACCCCGGCGAGCGGCTCTCGGTGACCCCGAGGGGCTCCACGGCCCCGGGAACCCCCCCCGGGGGTGTCACAAGAAGGACTTGGCCTCGGTCGCCCACCGTACCGTGGGGGGGGGAGACCCCCTGCCGATGAGGGGCACGTTCTCGTAGCGCGGGTTCCCTCCGAAGAGCACGGCCTGGTTCCTGGGGGGCACAGCGAGACCCCCGTCACCCCCCGCCCCGGCACAGCGGGGGGACCCGCGGGAAGGACGGGGAGGGGGGGCCTCACATGTACTCGGAGACGGGGGCGTTGGACACGGTCTGGGCGGGGGGGTGGAGGCTGCTCTGGCTGCCCAGGCTGCTGCTGTAGCTGCAGAAGCTGCGGAGCTGCCCCCGGGGCGGGCGGTGGGCGGCGATGCGCCGAGCCTGTGGGTTGAACGGGTCCTCCTCGTCCATGTCGTCGTAGTCCCGGTCCCTGGGCACGAGGGGACGGTGGTCACGCTCAGTCTCAAAGCGGGGGGGCCCCATGCCTGGACCGGGAGGTGCCTGTGGCCCCTCTGTGCCCACGGTGAGGGCGGGGGGCTGTGGGGGCTGTGGGAGAAGGAGCTGTGGGCAGTAGGGCTGTGGGCAAGGGGCTGCACATGTGGGAGCATGAGCAGGGGGTCTGCAGGGGCAGGGGGGATGCAGGGGACCACAGGTAGAGGGGTGGAGAGCAGGGGGGCTGCAGGGGCAGGAGTTATGGGTGGGGGGCTGTGGGCAGGGGTCCGTGGGCAGACCCACCGTCCTGTGAGCTGCTTCCACGCGCGGGGGGCAGCGCAGATGATGGTGGAGAAGGAGGCAGCCGCCAGCAGGGAGAAGAGCCCCAGGTAGAGCAGCCCCTCCACCCCGTCGTAGCAGATCCCGATGAGGGCGTCCAGGTAATCCTGGGTGGGACACAGGCAGGGCTGGTGGCAGAGCAGGGGGACCCCAGAGCTGTGTCCCCACCCGGACCCCCCTCACCTTGTGCAGCCCCCGGCAGTCCAGCAGGGCTGTCAGCTGGTGCAGGCTGGTCTCTGAGGAGTTGAGGAGCTGCTGAACCCCCAAAAGGTCTTTCTATGTGAAAAGAGGGGGTCAGGACAGTGCTGGGGAGCAGAGTGAGGACAGGTGAAGCTCCAGCACCCACTCCCATACCTCAGCTGTGGGGAAGAGGGGCAGTGCATACTGGATGAGACCCTGGGTCTGGATCTGCATCGTGGTGAGCGAGCGCTGGAAGACGGTGAGAACCTGCAAGGGGGAGTGGGAACAGTCACGGAGCCACCCATCCCTGGGACCCCCCCATCCCTGGGACCCCCTCAGCCCCAGGCAGCCCCAAGCAGGGTGCCTGGTCCCCCTGTACCTGCTGGAAGGGGTTGCTCAGGCTCTGGTCACAGTACAGGTAATAGTGAGCCACCACTGCAAAGCCAAGGGGACACATTGGTAGGAGCATCCCGGGGGACAGGGATCCCCCCAGGTGTGTGGGGGGAGAATGGCAGCAGGGGGCACTGGACCCCCCAGTAGGTTTTGGGGTCCTGCCCCACCCTGGCTACACCTGGGAGCTGGCTGACCTGCACTGATCTCGTCGTCTGTCTGGTTCATGATGAACTTGTCTGGGGCCACGCAGAAGTCGCTGGTGCCCTGTGGGGACCAGAGGGACATCAAGGGGCCGGGAGGGATGGGACAGCCTTTGGCACAGCCCTGGCACAGCCAGAACCAGCCCTGCCCTCCCCTCCCGCCCCACTCACCACCGCCGCCACCGTGTCCACGGCCATGGAGGCCCAGCTGAGGACGAGGGTCAGCAGCCCACAGCACAACATCCTGCACGGAGAGCGGGGAGCACGAGGGGGGAGCACGTGTGTTGGGTCCATCCCGATCCCCCCCAGCCCCCCGATCCCACCCACAGGGTACTCACGTGGCCAGGAGGCAGCGGGAGCGCTTGGCCAGCCCCAGGCAGGCCAGCAGGCAGACGGTGAGGACGAGGATGAAGAAGAGGAGGTAGGCCAGCCACCTGGGCGCAGAGGAAGGCTCCATCACCCGTGCCCACCCCCCAGCCCCGCCGGTGCCACCCCCCATGCGGCACTGGTAGTACTCCACACTCCCCAGCAGTACTCCACACTCACCGGTAGTACTCCACACTCCCCGGTAGTACTCCACACTCACCGGCAGTACTCCACACTCCCCGGTAGTACTCCACACTCCCCAGTAGTACTCCACACTCACCGGCAGTACTCCACTCACCGGTAGTACTCCACGAAGGCGACACGTGCCGACAGCACGGTGAGGTCGGCGCTGACGCCCCCCCAGCCCGGCAGCCCCTGCAGCTGCAGGACGATGCTCCCGGCCAGCTGCTCCACCAGCTTGAGGGTCTGCACGTAATCCCCCCGCGGTGCCAGCACCTCGTTCAGCCGCGCCAGGTGCTGCTCCAGCCCCCCCTGCATCTGCAGCGTGGTGCCTGCAACCTGGCAAAGGAGGGATGGTCAGACCCCCGGGATAATCATCACCCCAGGACGCCACCCTGCTATCGCCGCACACCTGGAGGACACATTGTGCCCCATCCATGGGATGCTCTTCCTCCAGGAGAGCAGCCCCATCTCAACCCCCCGAGCCTAAGATGGATCCATCCTCCAGGACAGCCCTGCCACAGCCACCCCAGCCCTTCCCAGTCTGCCACAAAGGTCCCATTCTGGGGGGTGACGTCACCCTCCCGCACTCAGCACAGCACGGCTGCCCCGGGGGCTTGGCCGGAGCAGCCGGACATCCCTCCAGCTCCCTCCCCAGTGCTCCAACCAAACACAGGATGGGGGATTGTCCCCCCTGGGGGACCTTGCCCATGGTCCTACCAGCGAGTCGATGCCGGTGAGGGTCTGGTTGGCGTGGTCCAGGGCGTAGAGCAGCTGGAACACCCCGTCGTTGGTCTCGCTGTTCCCGTAGAAGCCGATGCCAACGGCAGCGCTGGGGGCAGGGAGGGGACATGGTTAGAGGGGAAGGATGCACTGGGTACAGACCCACCCTGGAACACCAGCTGGACAGGGGACACTCCCTGGAACACCCTGGGTTTGGGGGACCCTTCAGCCATGGCAGGGCAGAGCCAAAGTGATGGTACAGGGACTTGCTCCTGCCAGTGCCCAGGGACACCCAGAGCTGCTCCACAGGCACACGGAGGGTCTGAAGCTCCTCCCGCCAAACCCTGGGAGATTGAGGTGGAGGGGCCGGGCCAAGCAGATTAGGGGAATCCGCTGGAAGCACCGTGCTTCCAACCTGCTGGGAGCACACGGAAGCCGCTCCAGGCTCCCGGGCAAGCTCTCCGTGGCCCCTGTGGTGTTCCCAGATGGAGCTGGGCTAGAAGTCACATCTGGCTCCAAGAAATAGGGTGCTCCTGGCCGTGCCCTGGCTGGACACATGCCCACACACAGCTGGCTCATGCAGGGCTGCTCTCTCCCTGTGCAAACACCAACCCATTGGCCACCATTAGCCCCTTAACGGCTACCAAGAGGCTGTTGGGGGGGTTCAAAGCTCCCGGGAGCTGTAGAGAGACCCCCTGCCATGGCGGGGGGGTGAGGGGGGGGGGCACGCTGAGCTCATTAGAACCATTTCCCCGTTCCCCTGTTTCCCTGCTCCATGGCAGCCATCTCGCCCCGCCCCGGCAAACCAGCCCCTTTGTCTGCAGAGAGGGTCGTGGCCAGGCAGCCAAACAGCCCCCATGGCCCATTCTGTCCCCTCCCAGGCCAGGAGTGCCTGGGGGGACACTGGATGGCTGCTGGGGAGTCCTCCCGCCCACGGGCTGCCCCAAACCGGGGTGGGCTTGGAAAGCCTCTGGAGTGGTGCTGGGGGAAGTGTCCCCTTGTCTAATTGCTGTGGTCGCAGTTAAGGCCGGGCACAAGGGACCTGCCAGCTGGGTCAGGCTGCCGCCCGCCATCTGCTCCGGGCTGGGATTAGCGACCGGCCCCGCTCCCGCCCGGGATTAGCCGGGAAGGCGGCACAGCCGTGAGGGGACGGGGCTGGCCCGCAGCTGGTCCCTGGGGCTGCCCCAGCAGCTGCACGGGAGGAGGCTGGGATGGACCACATTTAATTGCACAGACCTAATTAAAGCGACTCGTGGCTGGGGCGCAGCGTCCCCTCGGTGACGGGGGGACAGCACTGGGCCCCCGTCCCCGTCCTCACCAGCAGATGAGCCCGGCGGTGACGGCCATCCAGGTGACGCAGCAGGAGTGGGGCTGCTTGGAGTCGGGGTCCTGGTCCCTCTTGCAGCAGCACAGGCAGATCAGGTAGACGGCGAGGAAGAGGAGGTTGAGGCCGAGGCACACGGCGGCCACCAAGCCCAGGAAAAGCAGCGACTGGGAAACAGAGAGGGGACAGTCAGCGGCCGTGCCCGTGACCCGCACGTGTGCCGGGATGCGGCCGCGTCCAGCGCCCCATGGGACCGTCACGAGGGGAAGAGGAAGCGTCCCTGTCCCCGTCCCTGTTCCCCTCCCCATCCCCACGCGGGGCCACCAGGCCGCAGGTCGGGGGACTGGGGGTGCAGCCGCCCCTTGTCGGGCGTTGGGGCACCGGGACACCGGCGCTGCCCCCCCGCCTCATTTCGGGGTCCCTGCGGTCCGGGACGCCGCGGGAGCGCGGTGGGCGCCAGGAGCGCGGGGCAGGGGCTCTGGAGCGGCACAGGCAGGGGTGACCCTGTGCCCCCCCGGGGCCGGGGGTGCCGGTGCGGGCTGTCCCGGCGGGGGGGCCGGGCCATGAAAGGCGCTTTGTGCGCCGAGAGATCAGAGCTGGCTCCGGGCGCCGCCGGGGCCAGCAGAGCGGGGAGGGGGGGGGGGGAAGAGCCCGGGGCGAGCGGGGGGCGCGGGGCGGGGGTCCCGGTGTGGTACCTGCTGGTAGTCGGGGTCCTGCGGGCGGAAGGCGGAGGGCACGGGCTGCAGGCGCGGGCCGCGGTGCGGGAGCCCGTGCAGCCAGGCCGCCCACCAGGGCGCCAGGTAGTCGGCGCGGGCGGGCCCCATGGCGGGGCCGGGGGCGCGGGGGGCGCCGCGCGCGGGGCGCCGGTGGCGGGCGGGGGGCGGCGGTGCCGCCACGCCGCGGGCTCTGCCCGCCCGCCCCGGACACGACACGCCCCCGGGCCCGCCCACCGACCACGCCCCGCCGGCACCGCCCCCGCCTTGGCGGAGCGGGGACAGTGTCCCGTGTCTCCCCGATCTCAGCGCACCCCGTCACCCCCCGCTATAGGGGCACTGCGCCCTGTCCTTCCCTCTTATAGGGCGGCACTGCCCGTTCCTCACTGATATAGGGGGGCACTGCACCCCATCACCTACTGCTATGGGGGCAGCGCAACCCAACCCTGCCTGCCATGGGGTCACTGCAGCCCAGCACAACCCTTCCCTGCTATAGGGGAACCCCACCCTCTCACCTCCTGCCAAGGACCAGGCGCTGTGGAGGGCCCGGCCACAGGGGACAGACATGCCTAATCCAGTCCGGGTTTTACCTCATTCCGTACTCCAGCATAATCCAGCCCAGGTTTTACATCATCCCGTACTCCGGCAAAAATCCAGTCCGGGCTTTACCTCATCCGGACTCCGGCAAAAATCCAGTCCAGGTTTTACCTCATCCCGTACTCCGGCAAAAATCCAGTCCGGGTTTTGCACTATTCCGTACTCCGGCAAAAATCCAGCCCGGGTTTTCTCCCACCCCCCCTAAAGCGGCCCTGGGACCCTCCGACAGAGGCACCGCAAGGTGTGAACCCCCCAAGGTGACACCAGAACAGTGTTTTATTTATTTATTTGTTTATTTATTGTAACAAACACAGAGGATCCAACAGGGGAATGGCCCATCCCGGCTCATTTCAGCTCCTTCACGGCCAGACCTGTGCAGGAGAGAAGACATGGATTGGGGGGGGCTCAGCCATGGAAGGAAGAGGTGCTGGGAGCCCTCTGTCTCCACTGGGACCATCCATGAAAGTAGTGCCTGGAGCCCTCCCACTCCTTGGGAATGCCAAGCGCTGATGCAGGCAAGGGTGGTGGCACCAGTTCAGGGTGCTCCCCTCAATCCCAGCCACCCCCCCCAGTTCTCCTGGGATACCTGGGGGCAGGGACTGCTTCAGCTTCTCAGCCTTCTCCTTGTCGGTGATGACCAGGGTGTAGAGGTACCGACTGCAGCGCACCTTGAACTTCACATTGTCCTTGTTCTTCTTGATCTTGACAGCTGGGGGGGAGGGCAGGGACACCCCAGAGTCACCCCAAGGAACCCCAACCCCTTCCCCGAGCAGAGCCCTCCGGGTAGGAATGGCAGGAAGAGCTCAGTGGTGCTCCCTCAGTGCTCAGCTCTCCCTTCCCGCCCACACCCTGAGTAACAAAACATTCCCGAGGGATCCCATGACAGCCCATCCAAACAAGCCAGAGAAGAGGGAACACTCCTCAAGTGTTGTTAAAGACAGAGACAAGGCAGTGCAGGTGTTACAATTATTGTCACTTTGTGTTGGCAACAGAACTCTCCTAAGGATGAATCACCCTGTGTTGTGACAGAGCTCCTTGACAGCCCAGGGCTCTTCAGAGCAGGGGCTTATTTGGGAATGGCCCCAGGGAGCTGCACCTGGGGCTTGGCAGAACACCCTGGGGCAAGGAGCAGTGGGAATGGGTGGCTGGGAACACCCTGAGGGACCCTCTGGACCCCAAGCCCCTCTGTTCACAGGGGTGATCTCGGTCCACACGGAGCCAAAGCCACTTTGTGTCACCCACAGACCCCCAGCACTTGTCCCTCAGTGCTCCCGAGCCCAGGAGCTGCTCAGTGTCCACAGGCACCTGTGCTGGACCATCCCACCCCTGTCGCCCAAGGACCCTCCACTAACACTTGGCGTCCTTCCTCCGTGCTGTCAGCAGGAAGTCCTTGATCTCCTCAATCTTGCGAGGCTGGGAAGGCAAAGAGACTCATGGGATCACGGAATGGGGTGGTGGGAAAGGCCCTGAAAGCCCACCCAGTGCCACCCACTGCCACGGGCAGGGACACCTTCCACTAGCCCAGGTCACTCCAATCTGGCCTTGGACACTCCCACAGTGTGTTCCCAGCCCAAAGCTCATCCCCAACTCGCACTCTGGCTGCCTCGACCCCCCAAGACCACCCCCGGACCCCCTCAGGATCCCCATTAACCCCCAGGACCCCCCTTATCCTGCACCACGCTCGTGACTGAACAAGACAGAGATCTCCACCCTCCCTCCCCCCAGGGAAGGACAGCTCCCCATCCCGATGTGCACCCTGTCTGGGGCCAGACAAGAACCCCCCAACCCTCGGGGGGATCCCCCCGTTCTGCACCGTGTCCAGAACCCGGCAAACCAGAGCCCCCCAGGCCCTGCCCGGGCACAGACAGGCCAAGGACCCCCGGGGGGATCCCCCCGCCCCCCGCCGGGCCCACAGCACAGCCCCCACCCCCAGGAGCCCCCTGCCCGCCGCCTCCTCCTCACCATGGTCCCAGCGCGCCCTCGGTCGCTCCAACCTGCGGCACAAGCGACCCAAAATGGCGTCAGCGCAGCCCCGCACCCACCGCCCCCGCCCTCCCCGCGCGCCACCGAGCCCCCCCGCGCCCCCTGCCCCCCTCCGCTGCCCCCCTGTCCCCGCGCCGTGCCCCCCGGCCCCGATGGCCGCGGATCCCCCGCCCCGCCCGCTCCGCCATCCCGCACCCGCCGCCGCCGCGCACAAGCAGGAAGTGACCGCCGCACTTCCGCACCCGGGCACTATATGGCCTACGGCGCGCGCGGGGGGACAAACTGCGCCCGATCGCGAGCGTGGGGGCGCTGGCGGCACCTGCGATGAGTTGGCGCGGGCTCAGCCCCGTCCAGTGAGGGCAAAGCGGGGTGTGAAGGGAATGATGGGCTCTTCCAGCCTCCTGGATCCACCCGTGCACTGCCAGGAAGGTGGAGCAAGGCTGTCAGCGCGGGCAGGTTTCAGTTTCACGAACCTCAGTTTCCTGAGGTTCCCACTCGGGATGATCCATCTAAGATTCCATCTTGTTCCTTCGCCAGGCCCCCCGCCCCCCAAAGATGCTGGGGCTCGATGATTCGAGTAGGGCTGTAATGGACCAGTCTCGCCACAAGAGAGAGCTTCAGCCTCACTCAAAACCCAAACCCACCCCTAAACCCCAAACCCACCCCAAAACTCCGGCAGTAATCCTTGAGGGTGGGTGGCGGGGGCGAGTGACCCCATCCTGTCCCTGCGTCCCCATTCTCATCCTGCCAAGCCCTAAGTGGGACTGGACCAGTATTTGGGGGTGCTGGGGTGATCCCAAGGGGGGCTGGATGGGATCAGCAGTGTCTGCCCCCACTCCCCTGCATCCCAGTGCACTCCCCACACAGTGATATCCCCCCGGTTTCTCCCAGTACCAGCCTAAGCCCCGTGACTGGGAGAAAACCCACAGCTCCCATCCCAGGGCTCTCACCCAGGGGAGGATTTTGGGGTGGGATCCTTCTCCCTCTGCGCCAAACAAGCTTTTTAATTGTTTGATTTACTTCTCTCCTCTCTGATGGGCTGATCTACTCCGCTGCCTTTTAATTGCTCCCAGACTCGAGCCGTTTTTCGTGTTTTAAGGAAGGCTGAATGGGGTAATTAAACCCCTCGCAGAGTAAATCAGCAGCGCCGGGAAGAGACAGCCGAGAACTGGAGCTTTCGGCATAATAATAAAACTAAACTGGCATGAAAAGCACCCATTTGGCACCAGAGCTGAATGTTGATGCCAGGCTGGGGAGGGGGGAGGCACCGGCAGCCCCAAAATCACCTGGTTTTCATCATGGAGTCATGGAATGGTTTGGGTTGAAGGAACCTTAAAGATCACCCCATTCCACCCCCCTGCCACGGGCAGGGACACATTCTGCTATCTCAAGTTGCTCCAAGCCCTGTCCAGCCTGGCCTTGGACACTTGCAGGGATGGGGCAGCCACAGCTTCTCTGGGCAGCCTGTGCCAGGGCCTCCCCACCCTCCCAGCCAAGAATTCCTTCCCAATATCCCATCTAACCCTGCCCTCTGGCAGTGGGAAGCCATTCCCCCTTGTCCTGGCACTTCTCAGAGGAGCTGTGGCTGCCCCATCCCTGGAAGTGTTCAAGGCCAGGTTGGACAGGGCTTGGAGCAACCTGGGCTAGTGGAAGGTGTCCGTGCCCATGGCAGGGGGTGGGATGGGATGAGATTTGAGGTCCCTCCCAAGCCAAACCATTCCACGATTCCATGATTCTGTGATCCCTTCTTCTGCATCATTAACCAAGATATTAAATAACACTGGTCCCAGTACAGCCCTCTGAGGGCCACCACTGGTCCCTGATGTTCACAGCCATCCAAACAATTCCTGATCCATCTCCAGCACATCCATGGAATCTGTCTTTCTCTCCCAAAACACACCGTGGCACTGTCATCAAAGCTGGGGGTGGGGTGTGAGGGTCAGGGGGTGACCGTCCCCCCATCCCCTGAACCCCCCAAACAGCATCACTCCCTGGGAACAGAATCCCTTCTCCTGCCTTAATAACATTGAAGAGCCGAGGGGGTGCCTAAACCAACAGAAATAATTCATGAGAGTCATTAGCTGCTCGAAGTGGGGCTCTTTTCATGACCGACTTGAAATTAAAAAAAGAAATTAATAATAAAAAAAAAAAATCACCACCAACCCACCAACCCCAAACCCCACCACGCTCGGAATCCGCAGCTTTTCCAGCACATCAAATGCTTTTCCTGCCGCCTCCCACCGGCCCCGGCTCCGCCGCTGGAGGAAATTCAATTAACGGCCTTAATTCACCCGCCGGCTGCTGGTTTTATATTGGAAAATCCTCCCCATTCCGCTCGGGAAGCGCCGTGACCGGATTGGGGGGTGTTGAACCCTGTGGTTTGGGGGGCTCGTGGCACCTTGGTGTGGGGACTGGGGACCAGGTCAGTGAGGAGCCTTCTTCCTCCTTCTCCTCCTCTTCCTTCTCCTTCTCTTCTTTTCCTCCTCCTCCTTCAGCAGCTCCAAAGGCTCCAGAAGCTGGAAGTCCATGGAAAAGCCCTCCAAAACCACTAAGTCCAACCTGTGCCCCATCCCCACCTTGTCCCCCAGCCCAGAGCACTGAGT